AAACGCTGGGCCAATTACAGCAGCTATGACACGTCACAACAACGTCTACACTAGCTGGTGTGTCTTGCCCGCGAATGGCGGGGGGGGAGACGTGGTGCTGATGGAGGCAGGGACCGATCACCGATGGGCAATTGTGCCATCCTACTTGGTCTACACTTTTTCCCCTATCCTATCTATCGTATCGGTGTCGCCCATCGCAAACACCGGGGGAGGGGAGTTCACAAACACGCGTGGTACTTCTGGAAGGACCAACGAACCGACAACGGGCTATCATGTACGCGAGTCCTCGACGGGTGATTTACTACCTCCTATTCCCTACCCCCTCTCCGAGCGGCCGACCCGAAACACCCCATCGTACAAATTGGGTCCAAGGAAATAAAGGAACAAACTATCAAATCCACCAAAGCAACTTAGCGCGAGCGAGAAAGTGCAGAACAAGAGACAGCTTGGTTTCTTTTGTTTCACACACCCACCCTCTACAGTAGGTCTAACCTCTCCCTAAAGACGACACAAAAATATGTTCCCCATGACCTCAGCATGGCGGCCGCGTGTTGTGTGACTGTGAGTGCGACATCTTGTTGCAGCATTGTCTGACTAACAACTACGGAACATCTAAGAGAGCCACGCGATGTCGTTCTTGCTCTTGCGGTAGACGAAGCTCGCGATCAACTGCTTCCTCCGTGTGTTGAACCCAGACTCGACCTCGACGTCCTCCGTCGAGGCCGACGAGCCCTTCGCTCCAACCGAGCTCAAGTCCAGCGATGGGTTGTGCTCCCATGCGTTGTGGAGCCCGGCGTTCCCTGCCCAGTTGGGCTCCTCCTCCATCTCGCTCTTGTTGTCGTAGCTGTGAAGCATGTTGTGCAGGATACAGCACGTGAAAAAGACGTTGTCAATGTCTTCCTGCTTGTGGTACGGGATGCTCAGCTTCAGGATCCGAAAACGACCCTTAACGATGCCGAAGAAGCACTCCACGTCCTTCCGCACGCTCTCCAGCCGCTTGGAGAAGGCCAGGTCGTTCTGGTCAATCGGGTACTTGGAGGGAGGGATCAAGGTGACCCACTAACATGAGTGGGGCGAGAGAGGCGGGGAGAGCGCAAAACATACGGGGTTGAGAAAGCGGTGTGAGTGAGGGCGTCAACCGGCAGGGTCTAGTAATGCAGAGGTTACAAAGGTGACGTTGTGACGCCGCAGTTTGCGAAAGGAGGAAACCTTGCCACGAACATTCATATATTCGGCATTTTTTCATCGAACCAGAATCGTTTTCTGCCCCGCGTGTGGCTCCGCTGCACGTGCACGACCTGCCTTTCAGCTTCGGCGTTCTCCCCACATGACCGCTTTCCAGCACAGACAAGGCTCGACTTCCAGCACATTGAAACTTTGGGGGTGGGGGGTGGGGGGGGGTCGTTTGTCTCATATATACCACTGTACTGCTAGGGGTGATCAACACTCTGAGGCGCAATGGGAGAGCGAGAGAGAGAAAGAGAGTGAGAGGGAGCATGCGTGGACCCCTACACCCCCCCAGCGCCCCGAGCCCCGTGGATCAACCATGTACCCAATCCGGGATAACGGTTCCTATCTGCGACAACACACGAACACCCTTATCATTATTTTTCTGGCAGGTGACAAACCACGGTGGGCACGTACACCCGGACATATTTTACAGCAGCAACTGAAAAGACGACCAAACAAAACCTACGCGCCTCCGTCTACGTTTTTCTCTCTCTATTGTACCCGTCTATTTCTCTTGTCTTGTAGTTGCATGCTGAACGATGCCATGAGTTCTCACCTTGTGGTATCCGTTGTCCACGAGCAGGTAGCACCCCTTGAGCTGGTAAGGTGTCCCATCCGCCTCGTACACGGTGAACTCCTTTTCGGAGTAGATGGGGTCCTCCCGAATCTTGGTGACTGCCGTGTCGTACCGGATGATGCTCTTGTCGTTAGTCGATCCCGTGAACCCCGGCGTTACTGCAAGTACCCGTTTCGTGTGGTCTACGGTAACTTGATACGCGACAGTCGGGTACCCTTCCTTGCCCGTATAAGACCGGGCTTGGTTGTAAGGGCACATACCCCACGGGATGTGGGTAACATCCGTAGAACCGGTGGCGCCAGAAAATCCCAGGCGATCGTACTGGGTCATGACCTTCTTTTGGTAATCTCCGGTCGGTAGAAAGATGTGCTCCGCGTACATCTCCCTCGCGAAGTACCGGGTGAAGCGGTGAAACGTTGCTGCCGCCGTCTGCATGCTAATGAAAGACATGTGGTAGATGTCTGCGAAGCAGTTCCCCCTCGCTAGTATCTGGAGACAGGCCAGCACCTGTAGGAAAACAGGCGCCCAACGTAGGTTTCGGGGCAAGCAGTTGGAGTATTTTGTTTCAACGCTACAGGATCTACTGCCTTGCCATGTAAAAACCTCTTCGCGCGACAGGCTTTCTTTCCAACCTGCAATATTGTTGTACATACACGAGGGGTTGTGGCTCAGCTTTTAAACTGCTTGGCACGCGGACAAAAACAGCCGCAGCACATGACGTTCCTGGCAGCCATATGCACGAGTGACGGCAGTAGTAGCCTACACTACAGCAGTGCTAACATCATTGTTCGTACAGGCTGCTGTATAATTTTCGTGCTTTGCAAAATTACGGGACGCAGAGCGCGGGGCAACAACAACACAACGACATCACGAACTACAGCCAAAACCTTCACGGGGCTAAGTCAATAGGAGTGTAGCACGTGGTAGATGAGGCGGTCGTTGCTGTGTCGATGTCGGGAGTCATGACATCTGTTTGCTTGTCCGAACGAGAAGATTTGCGCGTGGATGCTGTAGCTTGCTGCCGAGTGCAGGGCGTAGTCGCCTGCTGCTACCTTGGCCCAAAGGGGTGTGGTATCTTGTGTCGCCTACGGTAGCTTGTGCGCACAGCAGCACTAAATGTTCACCTTTAATTGCACGGGGATACCCCGACGTCCGGACGCATCTTGCTTCCCAGTCGGGAACCAATCCCTCTGCTTCACCAGGGCCACCAGCTCCACGAAGAAAGGGTAAGGGAGACGAAAGCTCTCGCGGAAGCGGCGAGCAGGCCTGCTCGTGGGGTCGACAATTCCATCCACCTCGAGATCCTTGAGCTCCTGCAGCTGAATCGCCCAGCCAGAGATATTGTAATCCTTACGAGGGTATACGCGTCGCCTCTTGATCTCACGGTTGTCCTCCTCCTCTTCTTCGGAGTCGGGATCGAGCTCATCTAGATCGTCGAGTACAAGATCCCATGCCACGAGCGTGCGCTGCTGCTGTTGATTGAAAGCCGCCAACGCGACGCTGAACGCAGCAGGCACGTTGACGGCACCCGTTTCTGACGATGACATGGTGCCCACACGGACCCAGGCTACCACCAACAACAGGCCCAGTAGCAGCATGCGAGGGAGTTTGCGCGGTGCACGCGAGACACAGGACAGCAGCTGTGTACTCGCTGCTGTGCTGCTGTGGATGGTGAACGCGGTCTAGTTGCTGCGCTGTTGTTGTGCATATGTGCGGTGCCCCCGGTGTGCATTTCCAAACGCAAAAAACCGATCGCGTCCACGTTCGGAAATGCTCATCATTTCCAAACGCATGGCCGGTTGGAAACGTGAAATCGAAAATGTTCAGGCGGAAAAGTGTCATTTCCGATCTTATAAGAAACAGTTTTTGGTCCGAATTTGGAAATTCACATTTTTGAACTGCCTTTCCGAACGTTATAAGAAACCGCCTAACACCGCGGCTCGGTTTTGTGCTTCGGGCCATTTCATCGTGCTGTGTTGCTACAACCCTGTCCTTCTTCCAGTCTCTACTGTGGGAGAGGATGGTCTTCCAGTCCCGCCCTTTCTGGAAGTTCGCGGCACCCCTGGTTCGTGCCCGCTTCCCCCACACGGAGGGGGTCAGCGACGAGGCGTTCTACCGTGCGCTAAACCGGGTCGCCCCTTCGCTCATCAGGGTCGATGCCGACGAGGTCACCTACCCGTTGCACATCATCCTCAGGTTTGTTAGGGCTGTTGATGTGTGTGATTTCATTCGTAACTTGAGTGGGCTAGGGTTCCGCAAGAGCCGCCGACAGGGGATGGCCCACCGACGTCTGGGTTACTTTGTTTGGATCCCCCGCTGATTCTGAGCATGTGAGTTTTTCACTTGCAAGCAAATGACACGGATATTTTCACTTGTTTATCAACAATCACTTGAATGCGAAATCTTCACTTGTAAGCAAGTGATGTCCTCCCTTGTCCTGTCGCCCTTTCTCTGGAGGTGCACCTAACCGCGGGTGGGCTTGGTTTCACGGGACACACCATTCCGTTTCGCCTCTACGCCGTAAAACCCGACTTCGAATGACTTTGTTCGGAGGCGTTTTTTGTCCTCCCAGACCAGGAATCGGTTGTCCTCTCTCATGTAGTGGTCTCTGAAGCACCACAAGATCTCGCTTTCGTTTGACCATGGATCGATTTTGTGGTCAGTGGTTGTCGGCGGGCGGAAAGCGAGAGAGTTTGACCTATGCATGCGCCTTTACCTTCTCTTCGTGCTCTTTCCCCTGACCTGAATGGTGCTCTACAGGACGGTGTTTCAGTTCAGTTTGGCGACCCGTTCTCTGCTACACGATGCCGCTATTTCGTACCGTGGTGAACCCCCCTTCATTCCCACTCGATTGCGTGTCCAGCGGCTGGAATGTGGTCGCTGCGTCTGGGCATGGGAAGATATTTCAACAAGTCTTGAATCACGTAAAGGGAAACTGGGTGGGACGCGGCGTAGTGTCGTATATCTTTAAACGTTCAAATGAATGAACGCCTTGAGAGAGACATTAATTACCTTCCTTCAGCCCCACAGCAACACCGAATCATGGCCTCCGCTTGGCATGCTTGGTGCGTAGATACGAGATCGCGATCGGCGGGGCGTTCCCAAGGCATTTGGGCTCCAACTTTTCTCTGACGTACCTCGTGGGCATATTCTGGACCAATCTCAAGAACATTCTCTGAAACTACACCAAACAATGATCCATTGCCCCTCCGGTGACAAAAGGTTCGAGATTGAGCAGGGCCTGATGGACGGAAGCATCGCCGTGAAGGATGTGCCTTCGGTGTGGGCCTCGAAGATGAAGGAACTGCTCGGGGTGGACGTGCCAGGGGATGCGGAAGGCTGCTTGCAAGACATCCACTGGTACTCTAGTCATGACCTCTCTATTTGTCGTCGAAGGCTGCTTGCAAGGCATCCACTGGTACTCTCCTGCCGCCTTTTGTTGGTTAACGCTGCTTCCAAGAGAGATCCACTGGTGCCACTTTATTGCCACTATGTGTCGTTGAAACTTGCGATACATCCCCTGGTACTCTCTTGCCGCCACGGGCCGTGAACGGCTGCTTGCAAGACATCCACTGATGCTCTCGTGCAACCGTGTGTGTCGTTGTGAGAAGCTCGCGTTGAGTTCGTGTGCTGTTTTTGTTTGTGGCACCGTTGAACCGTCGGATCTTGACAAGAGTGCCTAGGTAGATGGACGTGACGGCAGAACAAATCTCACAGACGTATATGCCGCCGTGAAGTCATTGCTGCTATTTGTTGTGGTTACCGCTGATGCGGGTGTAAGTTGAGCTGTCCATTGTTTCCGCCGTTGGTATCATCGCGTTTCCCCGTCGGCCACACCGCTCTTTTCTCCTGTAGGACTTCACAGCAGTTGCTCAAGTCCTTGCTCACGCAAGTTCCCCTTCCACTTTTTTTCCTTCTCCGCCCAAGACACGATGATTTCTTCTTATTGAGCGCTTCCGATTGTACGAATATGCTCAGGTCCGTCGGAGCGTTCGGGTATTTCCCGAGCTACACCCTGGGTGCGGTGATGGCGTGCCAGTTCTTGGAGGCCGCGAGGTTGGCGCTCCCTGACCTAGACAGCAGCCTCGAGGCCGGGAACTTCGAGCCGCTCAAGACCTGGCTCAACCGAGAGGTCGGGGGGCAATGGTTGTGTAAATAACTACGTCAGAAGTATAGGGGAGGGCCTGAAGCACTGTTTACTTGGGTCATAGTTCGAAATGTTGCAATGTCATGTGTTGATTTATATCGCGGGATTAGTCTTTCATTTCTTCCGCGTAGTATTGCAGAGTGTTCACTCGATGTTAGTAGAGAGACCGGTCGAATACATGACGCGCGGCACTTTCTATCGACCACAAGCAGCCGTCGCCGTCACTACAGCCAGTCAGCAAAACAAAAAGTGATTGAAACACCGAACAACAATGAATGGCCCGCCACGATCGAATCGCTTCCTCAGGTGCACGCAAGAGGGTCCCTGTTTGCTAGCCCGGACGAGCTATTGAGCGAGGTCACCGGGGATATCATGCGGCCCTCGGCGCTCGTGGAGCACTTGAAGTCGAAGTACACCGAGATATACGACCTGTAGGGGGGAGTGAGCGGACGCTGGTCATACAGCCCGCCAGAAGCAAGGCGCTGGAAGGGTGAATTCCATGTGTGGTGGCCACGTCGTGGTTGGTTTCCCGCGGGTCGAACCATGTAGCAAAGAGGAATATCGGTGATGGTCAAGCATGGTTTAAGCGAATGAGGGCGTGGGATATTTAGCAGTATGCCCACCTGCGCAGGCTGTGTGTGGAAGGAACGTCGAACGTACATACACAGACATGGCCTACTGTCGCTTGTCACAATTGTGGTGATGCTGTTGTGGGTTGGACATGTCCATGGACATATCCACCGAACGGAGAGAGAGAGCGAGAAAGAGTCAAACACGCAAATGCTGCTGTTGCTGGTGTCATGAGATCGCCGCAGAAGATTTTCTGAGCACGGACGTTCGTTCATTGTTGAAGGTCGCCGAATGACATTCAAACGAGTATTGGGTTCGACAGCCACAGGTGATGATCTTGCAAGTGTGCGCGATCCCCAAAATGCTTCGACGAATCGCAGCTTCTGCTGACCACCGTTGTAGTGGCGGTCGATACTCTACGGCAGGCTAGTCGCGTCGAGTGGGAAGGGATGCAAGCCTGCGTCAACTGCGTTTGTTTCGTGGGTCAGCGGCACGACTTTGCATACGGTACATGGTACACTTCGTTGTGTGCCCAGCGGACACGTACGTGCTCCATACTCGTCATTGATCTTCTCCGGCAACTATATACGCATCCGTCCACGTATGTATTAGGAGAAACAAATATACACACAGAAAGCCTACCCGTTCGAGGTATAACTACACTCGAAGGGGATGTGTTGAAGTCTTTACAGTGAGTAGAGGAAAACCAGCTGGGTACTTGACTTATTTCGAGTTTGTTTAAGCCTATACACTGATGATTTATATCAGTGATACCAGTTGGTGCTTAGCACAAAAACATCTGCGTAGGTACATTTACATGTGGCCTGCACAGGGAACACGGCGCAATATGTCATGTTGACAGTAGTTGCTGGNAATTATTTATTTCATTTTATTTTATTTGTTTCTGATTATATTTTTTTGTTTTCTTGTATTTTATCGCTCTGCTGACCCTTGGGGTCCATTTTATTTTGGTATACCTTTTCTAGGTACGTTAGCCTGTGACCACGGAAATTGGCCGAGTCAAGTGATGGATTAGTACGGAGAGATTGAGACAGAAGGAGGTACTGGATAGAGAGACCGGGATGGTTTTTAATGTGAAGACAACAACAACAACACTCATAAAGGCTACTGCTGTACATATTCGGAATCACAAATATACACACAGAAAGACTACCCGTTCGATGCTGTATATATATTTTTTGAATTTCTGAACAGGTCAGTCAGGTGGTTGTTGATTTCCCGCTCAATTTGATTTTCAACTCTACCCATGGTGTTGTTTGATATGCGTGTATGACGAGTAATAATGAGACTCATCAAATGAGATTGTGACGCAAAGTATGCATTATGGGGGGAGAGTGATTGCAGTGCTCTTGCGTGTGTATGGGCAGTAAACTTGGTTGTGTAGGAGAGAGGAAACGGAGGTAAGTCTTGTGCTGTGTCGTACATTATGAGGAAAAACAAACATACATACATACACAATCGTACATGTTTGCAAACAGAATTTGAATCTCAAAACAAGTCGACTGTTTGTTGCTTTCCCGCTCTTTTCGATATTTAAAAAAAAAACATCACGTGATGTTTGCTACCTTGCGTGTCGAGTAATGACGGGATGTATCAGAGGAGGTTGTGATATAAGTACTACATGGGAGGGGAGAGATTGCAGTGCTTTTGCAAATGAATGGAGGGTAATCAGTCTTGGTGGAGTAGGAGCGAGGCAATAAAAGAAAGGTGGTGGCGAACATTTTGAATAGATCAAGTCATCGGGTCTATGCAATCATTGGCTGCCCCATCAAGCAGCATGTATGATTATGTACGATTGATCTTTACTCGCCACACTACAGCAGTAAGTACTAGCTTCTGGACCACCAACGACAAGAAATTCCGATTCTTTTCGTGTAGGGGCGCCGCAGGATGCTTCTTTTTGACCAACAACCAGAAACGGGTATACCTGGGTACTTTATCACCACTTTAGGGTACAGATAGAAATCAACACGCTTGCACCCCCAGGCTGTCAGCTGATTGGCCGAAAAACCAGTGTACCCATTTCTGAAGAAACCTCCATCGGGTACAGCTTCCGCTGGAATTAGGACCCTCTGGTGTGACCGATACTGGTTATTTATACTGGTGGTGTACCCGGAAGAGGTCGATTTTGTACTCAGAAATGGTCATACAATCCCGGCGCCCGACGCTCTAGAATAAAACCCGCTTACAAAACGGGTACCGCACACACATGCCGTGTACCGCACATACATTACCACAACCAAACCACCGACAACGCTCGCTCGTTCATCGTTCATTGGCACCGCCTCCATAGTATACCGGCCCTTCTCAACAGAGGGTTGTACTCGCTTGACGCGCGAGTACTTCGGTATGGTACTGATCAGTAACAGCACCGAGAGAGAGGGAGGCACAGAGAGAGAGAGGCACAGAGAGAGAGACAAACGGGCACGACCTGCCTCGCGCATCACGCTTCCGAGGCACAGGATGCAGGACACAGACAGCGGTTTACTGGTTTCGCCGCGATCTGTACGGCGGATGCTGTCAGAGATTGGTGTCGTGTTGATTTCCAAGTGTACCCTGAAATGGTGACAATCCACCCGGGTATACCCGTTTCTGGTTTCTTCTCCTATTGGTTTCGCCGCCATCCACGGCGGATGCTGTCGGAGGTTGGTGTCGTGTTGATTTCCAAGTGTTGTTGTTGTTGTTGTTGTTGTATTCACATAAAAAACCGTTCCGATCTCTCTCTACCCATACCTTGGTATGTCCGTACTGATATAACACTCGACGCGGTCGATTCCCGTGGTCGCAGGCTAACTTACCCTAAAAAGGTACATTGCAATAAAATGGCCCCGAGGGGTCCGCAAGTCAATAGAAATCAACGACAGACAAGTGTACCCTGAAATAGTGATAATCCACCCGAGTATACCCGTTTCTGGTTACTTCTCTTTTACTGTGCACATACCCCAACCGCGTCGCCCCCAAGCACTTGACAGTCCAGTATTCAGCAATCCACGACCACGATAGAGCCGTGCAAAACGATGGCGTTAAGTTGCAGATCGCTTGTTGCAATGAGCTCGCGTCGCCGCTGCTGCTATGCAGGAAATGCCCCAGCAGCAGTTGTTGCACTGTCTAAGAAGAAGAACTCAAGTCCGTGTCCTACTGCGGTGTGTAAGAGAGAATTGCGTACCGGCAAGCATGCGTTCACCGATGCCCGTGAGAGAGAGACCGCTATCGCTACCTTGAGCGGATGGGCCGAGGTGAGCATTCTGCCGATCAGTCTTCATAAGACGTGTGCCTGTACATTTTGGGGCAGTTGTCACTCTTCTTGTTCTGTGTAATGGACACACATTTCAGTTCAGCAAGGCAATGCTGTTGTACAAGTCCAGTGTTGTCCCTGAGATTCCTTGGACAAGACATGTGCAGAGCCTTTCTGCCCAACATATCTTGTCAATAACTATTCTAGTAAGGTGCGAGGCGGAAGCGATATCACGTCTTTGACCAAGCCTCTTACCCAATTATAATACTGTACCCCAGATAAAATACCCGGGGCTGCCCAAAACACACGAGGTGAACATCAAGAAAGAATCGCGGTGACGAGCGCATTGGATCGTAAAGAAATCAGACAGTGAGTGATTGAGAGTAGCGCGACAACGATGGCATCGGAGTAGATGCCGCACGAGGAATACTACCCTTTGGTGTTGTGTCTTTCTGCTTTTTACAAGGAATGTTTTCTTCTGTTGCGGAAACTGGACCCTGTCACCTGCGCTATTCCGCCGGCTTCCCGGTCGAGGTGAACTTGCGGAAGACCCTACCTCGACACCACCCTACGATAGCAATGCTGCTGTCAGCGTTTGCAGCAAGGTTCCTATTCCCAATCATCGGGCCGTATCCAGCAGCCAATGGCCCGAAAGGCTCCTACAGCACACACGTACTTGACCAGTTCGTGTGAGACCCCGATGTTTTCCAACTCAAGCGTTGCGGGAAGTGTACCTCTACAGGGTGGAAAAGTCCCAACGCTGTGAACAACACTTTCGTACAGGGCACTATGCATGCAATGTCCCCACTCGCTTCGTACTTGCTGAAACGAGTTATCTGTGTTCCCAACGAACAGGTGGAAGAGGGTAGGGACGCGATCAGCAAGTCCTTCAGTTTTTCCGACTTCAACGAGGCTTTCGCCTTTATGACAAGAGCCGCGCTTGTCGCGGAAAAGGTTTGTGAAGCACTGCTGTACTGAACACGGATCTGTCCTCACACTTTCCCTGGGAAGCTTATTCCCTCGTTGGATGCACGTGGCACGGCCGCCATGATGTTGTTGCGGTTCACCACTATCGTGATAGGACTGGTAGTCGGGCCTGCGTGTACCGGGAAACGCTTGTGCGCAGACCCTAACCCTGTCACGCCTCCTCGTGCGGGCGCTATTGCATCCATCATCACAGATGGACCACCACCCCGAATGGTTCAACGTGTACAACAGGGTGGACGTGACACTCTCGACGCACGACTTGGGAGGGCTGTCCCGGAAGGACATCAGGCTAGCACAGAGATTAGATGAGTTCGCCAAAGATGCGCCGGAGGCACTGCCATGATCTGCTCGCGGAGATGTCCCGTCTGATTGCTGGTCACAACAACAGCTTGTACTCGAAATCCTACATGTTTAGTACCTCCGTCAGCCGAAAAGGAGATCCATCGGACAGAGCTTCAGCAACCGGTTTGCGCAGGACAACATCATCCATCAACACCGCGTGGGTGGGAGTCAAACCTCCAGCATGAAGCACTCAACAACGTTGCTGATTTCCTTTCCTAGGTCAAAACTGCGAAGGGCGTCCACCCTCTGCGGCCCTTCTCCTAAGAGTGGTGTCGTCCCCGCTGTTTTCCTTGAGCGAGAACCTTAAGTCTCTCCTTTTCGTTTGCGGCCTTTAGGCCCTGTCGCACCTGGTCAGAACAGTCGGTGAACCGCAGAGAGAATGACGCTCTTGATGCTCGACGGAAGCAAAGGGTAGATCGGTTGGGATGGCCTCACATCAGTCAGCCGGCCCACCAGACCCTTATGGGGAACACTCTCTGCTATTCCATTGCCGCGCTTGCTATCCACAGTATGTACCCTCTCGTTGGGTAGTAAGTTGTGACCTCTCGAAGCCGGTTACCCTCAGTGGGAACAACGCAGACCTTTGAAGGTACTTGAGCAGAAGTCGGAACTGATTTGTTGTACAGGTACCAACCACTCTCGGCTTTTCGTTTCATACGCGGGCACGGGCTGCAAACCTATGCTTCTGATCGTGTGCTCGACAGAACGATCGGATTGTCCCCTACGGTAGCTTTCTTCGGTGATGTTGACCATTCAACGTCGTGAGCGTGTTGTTTTGGCCACTGCTCGACGGAGATGTTTCATCTCCGGGCCCAGTCAGCAACGTTCGTCGGGATTCCATACAGTACCGACAACGACAACGTGCCATAGACTATATTGCGGTGGTAGCAATCTTCACCTCGTCCAGGGAAGACTGCATCAGCCACAGCTCGGCCCCAACGTCCGCCTTCAGATTTGACAGCCGAAGCGTTCCCTCATCCATTGCCTTTGGTTTCCCCCCCAGCCAGCAGACGTCGAGGGGTGCCGAAGTAGATCAAACATGTGTTAGACGAGTGCATGAAAATATGTCGTCCCGAAGAGAAGTCGCGAACGGGCGGCACACATGATACGTCCGATGACGATCTGACATATACCCAACAGGTGTTGCTCGCGAGATGGAGACCAACTGTTGCATCTAACCCGGAGGTCCAGCATAAAGTACCCAAACCATATTGCTCTTCTTCAGGTGCTGGTGTTCGGCTTCAAACATTCGTTGACAGACTTGGACGCTCTGGGCTCTATCATTCGTGGGGTCGGTTTCGTCTGTTGAATACCGCCCTTTCAGCACTCTCGGCATCGGTCTTGCAGAACTGGACACCCTTAACATGTTAATACAGAGACAACAAGCGACACGAGTTCCGACAAGAGTCGATGGTTTGCCCAGGGAAAGGACGCTGTGATTACCTCATAGCTCTCTGTTATCTTCGCCACGGCCTGCTCGAGGTGGGCTTGAAGCACTCTCTTGTAGCTGTTGGTACAGGAGTACAGCGGGGGCTCACCAAATGCCCGATCGCAGGCGGGGTATTTCCTGCAACGTGTCATCGGGAGTGAAACAGTGATTCGCCGATCATTCTCACGGTAATGCCATTGACGAAGCTGGCGTCCGATTTCTTCCCCACATGCGGTGGTGACAATGTGATGGTGGTGCCGACCTACTCGGAGTGAATTTATTGTGGTTCTCCCCACACAAAATTCACTCGCACCGCGTCCTAAATATACTCCCCATTTCACACACGATTCACGCGAATCCTCTCTGTTGACCGCGTTGAAGGGTTGGTTGACTGACAATTGCACAAGAGAGAAAGAGACAGAAGAGTGCATTGTACGCGCCGTTGCGCAAACTAAAAACCATGTGCCAGACGTATACGAAAACAAGGTGGGTTTGTTCATCGAAGCTTCGTGAAACGACGCAAGTGATACCAAGCAGAATTAATGTTTCCGATGAAGTTACCATGATGGATGTTTGGCCGCAGCCTCCTTACGAGCGCGCTTTGCCTCCTGGAACTCCAAGAAGGCATTTCCTGCAATATCCTCCGGTGTCATACTGCGTAATGGGTTTAAAGGTCGGTGACAGTCGGTCATACCCCGTGCCTTTTTCAGATGAGGTGGAAATATGCACTGATTCGTTCGCGCCTGATATGCCCGTGTAAGTCGAGTGCCCTCTGAGACCTTCATCTACGAACATGTTTCGGAGTACGTTAGTTCGGGCTTTTATAGTCAATTTTAGATAGCTCAGTTTCAGATATCGTCGGTGCCGTCGATCATGAGCTACGACACATATGGTCCACACTAGGAGCGCGAATGTCAACCAAGTCTTCGACGTCTTCTTCCCGAACATCCTGAAAATTTTCTCTTCGCGGCTTTTTCATGAACTACAATAGTGGCGCGCTCTTGAACTAGTGGCAGGCCCTTCATAGTTTGTGCCTCACGTGGTGCGTTGTATTGATCAAGACGCCATGCTTCGTCGTACACGTTGGCATCAGACTACCGAAAGCAACAGGCGAAGTGTTATTTCACCGCAACACGTTCAGCAATATGTATGCCTTCCGCGAATGAAAGCTGGAATACCCGAAGAACTCGTGTGGACAAGCGTGGATGATTTACTGCCTACAGTAGACAATGATGTTGCCTCCAGGGGCCGAAGTGGGGCAAGATACTTGCCGAAATCGGTCTTGTCGGAAAAGGGCTGGGTGCATGTCATGGGCGATTGGTTTTTCTCATCGGCCTGGCCTGAATGGGGTCAGAACACCATATCAAGTATGGGCTCAAAGTTACGTCCACTTCTATTTCCTCGGCTTTGCGAGTTTTTCCTGAGTAGCTCTGTGTAGGATCCACCGAAGCTCCGGTGAGGCAGAAAAGACGCCAACAGAGTGTAACCGGAGAGGGACACTGACCGTTCTCGTTCAGGATCGAGGAGGGGTGAGTCGTTCCAGGGTCGAGGGTGGGGAAATGGTTTTCGTTCCGACAGCCGAGCTTGACGGGCGACTGCTCTGGTCTGGGCGTCGCGATTTCTCTGGATCTCCCGTAGAAACGCTCGGTGCTGCTCCATTTGTACGTGTCGTGTGGCATGCGAGTGAAATCAAGACAATTATAATAGATGCAAGGTTATGAGTGAGGAAATCGGGCGATAGGAGGCATCAGTAGGACGGGGTGACGCACAGACGATAATTTCTCCAGAGATCCGGAGGTTGAGAAGACAAAGACGAGGGCAAGACGATACGCTTGCTTCGGGCGAAACTTCATTAAATTCATAATATTGGGAAAGTTGGACATGTTATTTGGGATGGTCAGACCACGCCACACCCTGTAAGTGGTGTCGGGGGGCAGTAGGGCCGGCGTCCTGAGAAGAAGTTTAGTCTATGACAAAAAGTACCTGCTTCTTTGCGTCCGTTATCTCGCGTAAGATGTCATCCAAGCTGACGGCGTTGGAGCCACTTCCGCTCCGATCAACTGCGGACGCAAGCTTGTTCATTTCCCTGCAGGTATTGCGTTGAGTATGTTAGGAGAGGTACGATGTGAAGGTTTCGCATGAATGACGTCTGCTCACGGTCGGCATGTCAATGATTTCCGCTTCAATCGGGCAAGGTCTCCGGTTGGAGCTCTTCAAGGCAGCATCCTCCAAAGCCCCCCATTGCGCATGTGTCCAAGCGACTACACGGATGGCTGAAATGAGTGGGCAAAAACGCCTCGCTCGCCAGTCGCCCAGTGAGCGGGGAGCTCTTGCGAAGGTGTACTGATACAGGTAAATAGTCAATCGACGTATACCCTGCGAATCAGGTCCCCTCCTTAACACTCTCCACCCACAGAATATACCCTCAACTGGGAACCTCTTGTGGCCAGCATGGGTGATTCGATGGAAGTGTCACAAGGTTCTTCATAAGATCAACTCCGAGAGGTGTTTTCAGGACTGACACACATTTTTTTTTTGTCCATGGGAAAATGTCCAAGTCGGGAGAAAAAGTGTGCACCCGAGGAGGTTCGGACCACCAGTGTCCAGCTGATGCCATGGGCGAAGGCGTGCTGATTCAGGTGAAAGTCAATCGACGGATGCCCCGCGAATCGGGTCCTCCTTAACACTCTCCCCCGGTCTGCTTCCGTCGCGGTTACGTGTATATTGTTGGAACATGGACAACATCCACAACATTCCTTCGCCGTTAACACCTCTACCCAGAAGCTGCACCGCACTGGATGTTCACCATTCATTGCGAACATCGATCGATGTTGATGGCACAGCAGTAGTTCGTGGGAGTACAAAGAGTCTTCCCAAGAAGAGTCATGTGCACGGCGCAGACAAAGCAGACACCGAAACAACATTATGCGCAGTTCATCACCCATACATAAAGACCCAAATAAAAGTATAGAGTGGTGCATCGAAGTACTTAATTTAAGCATTGAAAAAAGGAAGTAAGTACCGAGCAACTGCACTGCATAGAGAACGGAGATGGTTTCTTCACCGACGATCACACTAGACTACTCGTCCTTCTTTGTGTTGCCACCTTCACACGTATCAATGTTTGAAGAATAGCCAATATTCAATACTAAGTATTATAGTGAGTTGGCGTCGTGTAGAGTAGTCAATATGCACACACGCGGCACTACATGCTGCCCATGTATGCTTGAAGCAAATCCAGCTGCTGGTGGTACTGCTGTCGAAGTTCGGCGAAAGAGAAACGGCGGCAGGCGCGAAGCATATGTACACACCTTCCAGTGCACTAATGCTGCTGCTGCTGCTGCTGCTGCTGCTGCTGCTCGAGCATAGACTAATGTTTGTAGCAGTCAGTCACACTTTCAAGGATCACACGTTCCAGTTCACATGCCGGGCCTTCTCCACGACACGATACACTCTTACACAGAATAGCTGCTGGTATGTGTCCTGCTGCGTACTTTGGTTGGTTGCCCGAGCCAAACCACGATGCGATGGTCGCGCAGTATCGCTTTCTTCAACTCGGTACCTTGGCATACCACCTACCTGCGGTTGAACCCCCTTCGGTGGCAAACTCATTCCGACCCTTCCTCAACCCCACAAGGGGCCCCTGATCTGTCTGACCTGACTCGTCGAAGCATCTTTTTGTGGCTCAACCTTGTGACAGCATCGTCCTGCGGAACCGCCGGCGCACCACCGACACCACCTCCTCCGCTGCTGCACCTCCTTGCTGTGGACTCATCTTGAAGCATTGCAGCGGCGTAATAGCCTGTGGCAGCGGGCGCCAATCATGCACTTGCGTCTCTCCTAACTCACACGCCTGCTCTAAGCCCTGAGCTTAGAGAGCAAGAACCTAAGGCGGCGGTTGTGTCTCCGCTCCAAAACCAACGTAGAACACCTGCTGCGGCTGCAACGTGACTTTCCGCCGAAACCATGATTTTTCCGACAGCACGTGTGACGGTTTCAAGTTACTTTCAAGTTCAGAAGTGACAGCAGTCTCGTGGATACAGCACCGGCGGGCATGCGTGCTTCATCTCTCGGCCATTCCTACATCTTGTCGTTCATCCCTCAGCTTCGTGGTAAGATAAAAATGGGGAAAAGAGAGCCACGAGTGAAGAAAGCGTACATGGATGGGCACATTTTCGTGTCTTGGATCAAGCCTTGGGTCGGAGTAATTACTGCGGTTTGTTAGTCAGCAGACATAATATAGACTGGTGGAAGAAAGGCTCGTGCTGTTTACAGCTGGGCTCATTGGTACCCTCTAGTCCATCTCGCCCGGCCTTCGAGACATACATGCAGCATCACATCATGGATGGACTATTGGTTCCGGGCGACCACGAACGAACGAAGTTCGATTGCCAACAAATAAGGTTTTACACAACAACAATTAATGTGAAGACAACAACAACAACAACAAGGTTTTACACAGTTCAAATCTCTCAAAAATTCCGGACAGAGCGAAGCACGCCGGGAAGACACATGCACACAATAACGATCCGCGCGGCGGGCTGCCCGACCCACGACTATGGCCACGGTCAGCCAGCACCGCAAAAAACACTGCATGTACAGCCTTTCGCGTGAAGTGCGCCTAGCGTGTGCATCCGAGCGTGCGCATGTCGGCGCGCCCTGTGCCCCCTGTGCCCCCCCCTGCACTCTGCAACGCACACACGACACTTCCTTCACAAGCGAAATACTTTTATAAAACACGGCCGCCCGTATCGAGCCGAAGCACAGCAGCACCCCATCCAACGCTTCCCTTTGTAATTTCATTTACATGCGGATCACATGCACGCACCCACTGCATTGTGGTGTTGTTTGTAGTACCCACAATCCCCAAATCCCCACAAACATGTCATTAACAGCAGTCAGAAGCCAAACCAAACCATAGACGAACTGCGTTCAACATGATAACTTGGGAGCTTGCCGAAGCAGAAAAGCTAAGGTTCGTTGCTAGACAAACCCATCAACGTCACGTGGACATAACAGCGAAAGCTGCACAAAGTTGCCCTCTCCCACAATGATGCCCCCGCCGAGTCGGTCGACATTACGATGATAGAGATCAACGACCGAGAGCAGTATCACATAGAACCAAACTCGTTTCGCAGGTGAAAGCAGAGCAAGTTTCCAGGCATAAAAAAACGTGTCAATCGTTGACCCGACTTTTTCGTCACCCCCTTGCCCCGCTCGCTTTTCCCGAGACATGGCTTCCTGACGAAATGCTCCATCGCCGTGTGCGTGCGTGTTTCATCCCGTTCATGCTGGACTTCGGTCCTTACGGCTAGTCAGTCGGGGGTCACTCAGGAGGAAAGCCACACATTCCCCTCCACAAATAATACACTTCTGCGCTGACTACCTTGCTCAATGGTTGAGCAGGGATCAGTCGTTCCCTCCGTCTTCGACTGCAAATGTAGCTGTTGTGCACAAAGCACGAACTCACTCCACAATGTTTAACATTAAAAAAAAAAAAAACACCTTTCCGCGTTTTGAAACTGCACCGGATTTGAACTCGGTCCCCAAAGGTTGCTTCCAACTTAAGCCATTTTGAACATGCACTTGGAAACCTGAAAACCAAACATCTTCAGATAATGTAGACGCTCCGGAGCTGGTCGAAACGGAACGTCTGCCCCGTCGACGGGCACGTCACCACGCTGGCCCCAACCGTCCCGCCGACAGTCCCGTCGAACCCCACAATCCCGCTGCCCGCGGCAGCGGCAGCATCCCCGGTCCCCGCCCCGGTCGTGCCCGCCGCTGGCCGCGCCAACGCCCGGATCGCCCTCGAGCCGTACACATGACCGTTCGGGAGCACCAGGGGAGGGTTGTCGTCTCCGATCGGGTCTCCAGACTGGGGAACGGGCAAACATCAGGGGAGGGTTGAGGCGACAGGCGTGGAAGGAATATCAGGGGGAAGGATGCATGGAAGAGGCGCCCCGCGGCTGATTCAGAGTAGCTAGACTATCCAGAGGGCACGGGGGGGGGGGGGG